CATAACCAACAGTAGTAGTGTGTTAGGAAATTCGTCACATATTATGATTCCTACCACGACTCTACCATTTATCTTCCACTTACCAATAAATAGTGCGTGCTGCATGCAGCCATATTAATTTCGATGTAAGTATTTTGAACGTAGTCGTTGAACTTTGGAGCCCACACGAATAGATGAAAGATTCCCAAGTCATCAGAGTAAGTATAAGCGTGCTGAATATGATCAAATATTCAATGTATTCATCTGATCTTCTCTTTTCCCTATATAATTTCGAGATCTGTGCATCTTGAAACCCTGTTCACTCAAAACTGCTATTCGATCATATACATTCTGTAATCTTGTTTTAATTTCCTACACTTCTGGCGGTTAATGCAATTATCCGAATAGAAGACTGCTAGAAAAGTATCAAACGACAAACAAGAACAATAATTGAAAGTTGATATATATTGGTTAGTGCGCGTCGCCAACAAAAGCAATAAATGGCAAAACTTTTCCTCTTACTAAGTACCTGATATCGAATATAAGCAATTTTCTGGAACCGTAATTTCGCCGCTAATCAGCAATTCACATAAATGTTCCACAGGGATTTCACTTGTGATGTAATACTCGGAACTGAAGCAGAATATGACGATCGCATTATAGAGGCAACCACCTATCCATATCGTTTTCGATTCCACGTAATCTGCACTGATATTAATGAAACATACTGAAATAGGTAAGAAGATAATCATCTTTTTTGCTCAAAATCGAAAAATGAGAGGCTTTTAAGATTTTACATTCGTAGGCTTATGATAGGATCAATGACCTTTTTCACAACCACCCATCCAACCACACCGGCCACGTCTACGATGCCATAACAGTTTTTTCGCCTACCTCAGCCTCTAATCCAGTCGACGACGTCTGGGTCTAATTGTAACCCTGGCGGATCCAGCTCCCTTATTCTCTTCACGGGAGTCATGAAGATGATAAAAATGGCGGTTGATTTTTTCATTGCCATTCATGATGTCACTTATTGTATTATTTCGGTTATTTAAATCTAATAGAAGATGAATTATATAATTAGAAATGTAGAAATAGGAAAAGTTATATAAATTCAATGTTATCATACATTTCCGACATCCTGTTTTCCGAAATATCCCATCTTAACAGCATGACGTTTTCCTTCTACTGTACTTCGTCTGTGGACTGATGCGTTTGTACAAAGGTATTACAGTTCCTTCGGCTAGGTCGTGCTCTGATTTCAAAACATCGTTCAAGCCCCGGAAATTGTCGTAACAAGACTGTATATTCTTCTTTCCGATCGATGCTTGTCCACTTGTCCCAAACAAAAAGCCTGAACAATCCCCGACGAATAAGCAATAATTTAACCCCAATAATAGATGAGATGGAAACGATTTTGAACCGATAGATGTCAACTGCATCTGATCCCGGTTCACGTTCTTGCGCACAATCTTTCCAATAATCTTCAAAATAGATGCAAAATCAAATCCCGGCGGCCATGGTGGATCCCAGTGCAAATTTTGCAATTATGTCTAAAGATGTAGCAGAACGATTAAAATATGTAAATATTGATACAGGTGGTCCATTAACAGGTGGCAGCTGAGTGAGATCACTTACTAATATATGTCCAATCGCGCGCCAAATGAATCATTTGTTCTTGTCAAGCAGACTTTCGAACCAATTGTATGGGCTCTTGCTCGTCTTTTTCTTCTCCGGTTCCCTACAGACAACATGTGCGCGTCGATGTAGTGCATATTGCCATAGTTTAGTTGTTTGTTTTTTTTTGAAGATTCATTTGCTAGGACGTTTAACTGAAATTGATTCCAAATTATATGCAGCCCTAGAATGAAAGTATAATGAATGTGCTTAAACCCCGATCTTATTCTGCTCTCGCGGTACGCATGTCAGTTGGTGCGAAGTCTTCTCTAATGCCGCGGTATGAAGTCTTCAATGATATTCATTGCGAACATGTCGCGTGATGCGCTGTTATCATATAATCAGGTTGTCATGTATCGTCTCAGCGGAGGAACACTTGCATAAGATAGTCACTTATTAATGTCGCTTATATCATCACCGAAATTGAACGTTCTCAGAACGTTCCATAGCTGCGTCCATTGCCTTTGCATTATGCTTTTGTAAATCGACTTGACATAAAGGACTGGAAATGTGCTGAATTGTTTGAATCGGCCGACGTCTGTCTAGTCTGTCTAATGTGTGAGAAAAATATTATAAATAATAAACAGATGTTATAAAGCTGTGCTGAAAGTGGAAACCGCAAATTTTGAATTTTTTATAATTACCCATCGAGAACATTCCAGTCCGTATCCGCTATCCGCGCCCACGGGTAAGCTACCCAGTTTAGTAAGCACAACGTTAATATCGACGACGTTTCGTAGTCGTCACGTTTGGCGTTCCGTGCGCGAGCATGCTTTCAAAACCTTCTGCACTATTGTGGGTACGACGTTCCGCTCACTTCACCAAGGTATTCGACTAATTTATGATTGTCATCTGCCCTATTAGAATATATAGTGCAACATCACTTGGTTAAGCATACGCAAGTAGTTATCAACAAAAATCTCTTTCGCTCACTTACACGTCATGGAATATATATGTCTTTTTGCTACAATACTTCAAGCCGTTTATTCCAATATGTCCGTTCTATATCCTGGGAAACTTCCTGACAGTTTTCCGAGACTAAAATTGTGCAATCGAAAAGTTTGAGTAATAGCAACATAAACTCAGTGACGATGTTCGATAATACAGGGAGATCTAGTTACCTTCCAAAAAATCGAATTTTTCTTTTCAAGAGGTAAACACAGTCTAGCAAAACCATCGTCCCTGATACACTCACAGGTGTCATACCCTGAAATCTTTTTTTTTTGCGACCCCATATTATCCGCCATTCCGAGCATGAAATTTATCAGCAACCATGTGGTTTAATAGATGGGTCTGTAGTAATAACGCAAATTTCATTATAAAGTGTATTAGTTAATTGATTTTCATTGCGCGAAACCACATTACAACTTAAATCAAATATAAACGTACAATTGACCAGGACCAGTGGGAGCGCTGGAAGTGATCAGCTAACCTTTCGTCCAGTGAATCAGCTGGAATTCTGGTCTCGTAAGTGTTGCGAGTTAGGACGTCTTCGCAACTGATGTCATCGAGCAGTCGTCCGGAACTACGAATATTCAGTTTCAGGCATGCGACGAGCGCATGGAAGGACACAAATTTTGCTTTAAAAAAGGCTTGTTGACCCGACTCGTCCCAGATTCTATCGCCAAGGTAGACCAAGCAGCAGCAGCCTTTGCAAGTGAATCTGATTGCCTCAATTGTAGCCGAAAATTTCATTCGAGAATCCTACCGAGCTAACTGCTGTTTGTTTTTTTTTTTTTGCCTCTTCTAAGCCGACTTTTGCTTCATCTGTCAGATTGAAGAGGTGCCGATGATTGATTGAGGTGGGCGGCCTGACGATTTGGAAAAAACCGTTGGTCGCGAAGAGGATGGTTTACCGCTCTATAGTCTTGACGGTTTTGTTAAAAAACGAGGGCGGGCCTAGATGTTACAATTTATGTATTATCGCTGCGTACATGATAACTGCAAAATTAATATATTACTGAATCATTTCCAGATCATTTCTCTTGTCTCCTGTCGTCGAATTATCCGAAAAGGACAAGGAACATTTACGTATATCCGTCCTCTAATTATAATTATCATTAGTAACCAACAATTCCTCTTGTCTAAATTGCATGCGACAAATAAAATCGCACTGTAAGCATATTTAAACCTACGCAGCGTCGGCTTTTCTTTCATCCTGTCCCTTCACTACAAAATCAAAAAAACATAGAAGCAAACTTTGTTTAGATAAGGTCCGCTATTGACACAAGTCAAATTTCAAACCGACCTGATCTTGGCTGACGAAATAGACGGTAACGTTAACACGAAAAGTAATAATAGTAAGCAATAAGTCAGTGTTAAACAATAAATATAATGATTGTAAAGTCTATTCTAATGCATATTGTAGATGTAAGCGTGGGCGGTCATTCCTCTATTGTCTGTTTTCCAACGGCTCGCGTTTCTTTGGTGACAATAGGAAAGCGCGATGAATTGGGAAATTATCGTGACGTATTTAACAGACATTTCACACGCGCAGATCACCATTATCGTCTTATTACACGATGGAATCAATACCAAAAACGAACTCTAACATTAAAACGAATTGCATCAGCCAGCATACGCCGGCACTCCTTTCCCTCCCATTGATTCGAAAGCAGAGGTGGGTGTAAATTGGAAATAGATGTGGAATCTAGATGCATATCTCTTTGCTAATGCCTCTCTTTCTGCCTTTTTGTTCTCAAAAAGCGAAACTTATATCTAATTCCAGTTATGTTAGATCACGTTGCCAGGCTGAGCATAAAGTGAGCATATAATTTGAGAATGTAATCGGCATGCAGTGCAGTTTTCTTGTTCTGGCAAACGTTGAGTCATCGATTGAATCTACTTGTCTCGATAATTATTATTGGAAATAGAATCGGGGAAAGCAAGACGGCAAGCGCTCGATGAACCAAAAAGGCGTATTCTACTTAAAGTGCCACGTTAAGCTGTCACCATCACTCAGGACAAGACTGAAAGCATGTTCGAACAGCACAGTCAATATATAGATGGGGATATTCATCGACCCCACGTGTAATCGAAAGCGACAATTATATTCAGATACAAGGTAATGAGAGAAGTTGGAGGTATTCAAGATTAGATTGGAGGGCGGTGTAAAACGACGCGTACGCTGGGAAGACACCGATCAGACAAGAATATGTATTTAATTTGTCCATGTTATTAAAGGCATGGCAAGTTTTTTTATGGACATAAATTCGGTTTTACCTTTTCATATGCAGCATGGCCTGACAAGAAGAATGATGAGATCGAAGAGAGGGATTGGCCCTGAATGGGGACCGAGAAGATAACTTGAATTAGATGCGTAATTCCAAGTTCCGGGCCATATCAGAAACATTTACAAGTAAGATATAAGATTTCACGTTTACGTCAATAATACACGTCTGGTCACCCAAACGCCATTCTAATACTCATTTTACAACACGTAGAACTGCGAAACGATTAAGAGACCGTGAAAGACCCACGTACAATCTAAAATATGATAAGACGCATGCGGTTGCCTGATAATTGATGGGTTAGGATCCTCTTGGCCGTCACAAGGAACCAAAATTCTAATGTACGGTATATAATATAATCAACAACGCTCGAGCAAGTTGCGTGATCAAGTACGTTGGCATGGATCTTTTCTGGTGATGTGTACTATTGGGAGGTGGCTTACCTTAGAATATTGTAATTCTTATTCGATGAGCCTGGCACGAGGCTTTGGACCAATATCGCTTAGCTTTTCGTGGAAATCATGCAAATCATGCAACCAAAGCTTTACATGTCTATGGCAGTCATTTCTAATACTCGGTAAGTGTGTGTTTTTAAAATGATTTTATTATTACTTTGAAGATTACAAATAAAGGCAACTCCCTCACAATAGAGAGGAAAGGAACAGTCGCTACACTGTGATCTATGAGAATAAATCAAGGTCATCCCAATTAATATTAATAGTAATCGGGATGTTGACCATCTTTTTCTCGTCGCAAGGAAGAGACTGATTTGAGGGCGGGCTATTCCGCGCCAACTAAACTATATAATTTAGCTTCGATTTATTTAAATCGAGCGTCTATCTACAGTTTTCCATTTGCTTTGAATATATAAAGCTGTTGTGCTATTTTAAAATGTCCCAATACCGAAATGTCTATAAAGATACCCGCCTCTTATATTCTACTCAGATCAACACCTCCCATCTCTATTCAGATCACACCAATCTATCCCCATAAAGACCACAACCCCTCCATGTCTATCTCTATC